CAAACACTAACTTTTACAAGCGGTTTTAAAATACCATGGATTCTAAACGTTCACATTCGTTTGGTTTTTCCTATTAATAAATCACATTGCTTTTATAATTAATACATTTTCAAAAGACGACTGAAGTGAAGCTCAGTGCTTTTTAACAACGTAGAACAAGTACAAAACCATTTTAAAATAAGATTGGTAAAAATATTCCACATCATATCTCACATAAGCAAGAAATACATTTAGAAATATAAATTTTAGCGAGAACTAATGGGAACAAAACTCAAAAGTGTTCTGAATTAATCTTTCAGCATCAAGAAGCATTGAGCACAACAAAGATATATATTTTTTTGGTTTAGGTACAGGGTTCGATTTTCATTTATTTATATATTTTTCTTACTTGTTAATTCAGTTGCTTTTTATTTTGTCTCTGTGACGTTCGTTGTCTTTTGTAATTTGACAAACTTATTGTGTTTACATTTGATTCCCGTCTTTTTGTCACTTACTGATGGCACCTTTTCTGCATTTGTATAACTCCTCAGTATACTTTCTACCACATGTCTCCTCTGTCACTTCTGTTTGTTTGCTGCTTTGATGGTCAATCTGTCTTTTTTATATTTTATTTTGTACCATTTAGACAATAATTAACTTTCCCGGTCTCCTTTCTGCAAAGAAGCGTTCAGCTCCACAGCTCAGTTGGATAACAGCTGACTGTGTTTAAAGCACACGCCGTGTATGATGTGTGTGATGTATGACGTGCATGTGTGCGTTCAGAATGAATTAAAGCTCATCATTAGATAGTCTTTATAAAACTTTGATTAGGTAAAACGGTGTTACATGGAGTCAGCCATTTGTTTTTTACATCTTGAGAAGATGTGTAAATCTACATGTATTTATTTGTGTGGGTTTGATTCACCTCATGTTTTGGTGTGTTACTTCTATTTTGGTAGATTTTTGTGCTTTTAACAAAAGTAATATGTGGAAAAGCAAAAGTAATGTCCTTAGGAGTGAAAGTATTCATAAAACATTGACCATAATGTGAATCTACTCATGTCTAACACTACTTTATTTATCTTAATGCATGTTCGCATGTTTGCATGGTTTGCCAAAAACAAATGTGAACTTAGCTGACAATTTCATCAGAAGTTAATTAGACATGACACAAATTTAACGTAATTACAAATTAATGTTGATTGTAATCTGGATTTGTAGACTTTTTATTAGTACTTGTCGATATATTTCCGGATTATTGAATATAGTGCCTGTTTTTGTGCCAAAATGATATTTTTTTACATTTTGTATGAAATCAGAAGTCAATACAAGATGGCCTATTTTTATTTTCTGCTAACTGTAGAGAAAACTTGTCATGGCAATTTCAATATAATAGAGATGTATTTAACTTTTCTCGTCTTTATGTTCTTTATTTTAATTGTGTAACATTTTGAATGTGTTCTATAGTAAAATGTTCAATTCTAGGGTGCATTTCTTCATATAAGCATACGTCTTAAAACTCAAGAGACAAGTTTAGAGCCATTCTGTTCTGATTCAAACTAACACAGGAAACAGGCCTCAGTTTGAATTAGAAACTGAGCGAGTTTCATTCAGACTCTCCTCTGTGCTGGAGGAGCAAAACCACAACTGCCACCACAAAGTAAGCACAGGAAAGAGCCTCCTCCACACCGTCATCCCCCATCAATCCGGTCAGCCCGACACAAAACGACTAAAAAAAGGAGAGCGCTTCTTCCGTCAATTATGAGGGAAGTGGTGAGCTCTGCGTACACGTTGTGATTAGTTATGAATGAAACGAGGCGCTCTGATTGGTGGAGAGGACCGGGGGTCAGGCGGTCTGCCAGCAGTTCATACAAGGCTGCTGATTGCTATTCATCCACTGATTACAGTCATTTAAATCTGCAGCAGGCCAAAGAGGCCTGCGTCTGGCAGAATAGCTGCTGCTGCTCTAAGTGTGTGTGTGTGCAATTCCATTTTATTTCAATTAGGCTGAAAGAACACAACATGCACGAAGACATGATATAGAAAGCAGGAGACATGTAAATATGTTGCATCATTTGAGGATGTAAACGGTCAGCGCATTATTTCTTATGTACTACACCTCCATTAGCATGAGTTAGTCATATACATAATCTAAAAACATGACTCTGGCGTTCCTTGAAGGAATGCACATCGCTCGCCACATTGCAAGACAAACATTTAAACACAAATCTTTTGCGTTGCGAGTGACTCTCCGCAGCCGCCATGCTAAATTTTAGCTCAACGTTTGTCAAACGAACGGAGTTGTTTGCTGAAGTTGATTAGCTGCGGTCATTTTGATTTGGGTTAACTGGCTGTGGAGGTACATCCAGTGACTACCGTACTTTTGAGATTCATCAAAATCTGTCCAGTGGGTCTCGAGATATTTTGCTGACACACAGACAATTAAAAGATTGCCCAACCTTTCAAGGTAGCAGGCATTAAAGAACGGTATAGATGCATCAAGTTGGTTGTTTTGGATCCTTGTGCTGGTCTGGACACAGTAAGACCTTGAATAATCCAAGCTGATGAAGCAGTTAGCTTCTCTTCTCGGGCGGTGGAGTTGATTAATCAGAGGTCCGAGCCGCTCTGCCTGAACGCATTAGAGGGGTAATCTCTCTACTGACTGTTGCAGCAGAATAATCCAGTCTGTGTCTGTGTTCTGGATGCACACAGAGCAGATGCTCCTGTTGATGCCACCTCACAGCCGTAGCGTTTAGCTCGTAATGACCAAATGAGTCACGTTGTCGCATTAAAGTCACATTTATTGCCAAAAGGAAGCATTTTTTTTCCAAAAAGGTTTTTGTTCTACAGAAAAATGTTTTCAGACGCGTTAAAAACAGGGACTTGTGTAAAGAGCATAAATATACATTCCGATGTCTGCTGGAGGACACTTCGGATCCGGACCTTTAAGAGGTGCATGCTTCGGTCACAGCTGGAAACAGATGTTCCCGTTAAGAGTTCATTAATCAGTTTTATGACAGTCCCTGGATATTTAGACAAATAACACTGTTTCAGAACCCCTTTCTAATACACTCAAACACATCTACATATGTACAAACACAGAAATCATTAAGGAACTACAGGAGTATGAAGCGATGACGATGTTCAGACAATGCGTCTCGAGGACTCCGCTCCTTGGGGTGTTTGGACTCGTGCTGCTCGCCCTCTGGGAAGCGGCTTCAGAGGTGACCTAGTTCTGACTGTCGGAAGGCGGTGTCATCGGCTAGCTTTGTGCCGAGGCACTGAACTGTGCCCGGGACCCTTCGATGGGCCAATTGGACATGTGTAATGAAGCTCATCACACACAAACACTGCTGTCGTCGGGTGTGAGGCTGCAGAATTTATAACAGCCATTTATTGCCTTCTGCTTTATCGGAGAAATGTGATGCTGCCATTATGGTTCATTATGGAGAGGTGACAAAGATGGAGCAGGGGGTGTTGATGGATGCTGGTGCGGGGCCCACTGTCATTATTTTGTCTATCGCGCGAGACACTTCCAACAAAATGGCCGCGGACCAACAACATGGCTCCGACTGCGAGGGGCAATTGACAACCAGCGCAGAAAAATGTTAAATACATTCATTTGCTGCTTGTGTTGAGAACCGCAACACGACAACAATCCTGCAGCAATTTCTGCTCATGGCAGAGGGCGACTGAACTGTTTTTACACAGGAAACGTATCAAACAGATGTAAAGACATGAGAATGTGAAGAAACACAAATGCTGCAGATTCCCACACAGAGTGCAGAAACACGTTCTCCGGACGAGTCTATCCTACACAATACAACAACGCAACATCTTTACATTCATATAAATAATTATAAGTCCAGGTTGTCCCATAAGTCACTTCAGCACTTTTAACTTCATTTAGTGTTTCAAAATGACAAAATGAAGACCAGCTTCACCATGTGTCCCCAACGCCTCCCAGTAGAAGTACAAGTACCAAAGTTCTTGGTGTCACAACACAATAATTCCGTGTTTTTCCAGCATTGATCTGTGTGGGGTGATGCCAACAGATGTTCCAGTGTTATAGATACAAATACAAAATACGAGTTCATCAGAGTCTCTTCAGGATTTCTGAAAGAAGGTAGTAGACAGACATCCTCCATCTTTGTTCACCTCAAAGGTGCAAAGAGGACTCATCACAGCAACAAAGAAAACAAGTAATTGGCAGGATTTTTTTCTGGCGGTTGATTCTCGTGTTGAAAAGTAGTATAAGGAAAACAAGAACAAAAAAAAGTTTTCAGTATCTCGTTTCAGATCATATAAAAAGGGGAACTCGTTTACTTTAATGGAGTGGTCTAAAAAAATTCTCCTGAACACCTTTTCAGGATTCTAAGTTTTAAATAACTTTTTACACAAAAACAAACAGGAATAATAATAATAAAAAAAAAAATTAAAAAAAACCTTCAGGAAGTAACACTGGTGGGTGGAACATCAAAGTGCTGTAAAGTCCTTCACTGTGATTTCAGTCCCTTTCTAAAACAATTTTAAGGTTTTTTTTTTTAAGTCTTCGTTTTAAAACATGGATGGAATCGGGTAATATAAAGACCAGCAGCTCCTGATAGCTGCAGCTTGAGCTCACACTTCTGACTAAATTAAACCCCCACTCATGTTCATCAACGCACATTCTATAATTTTTGTCCAGAATATGTAAAGAAAAATCACCATCATGCTTTTTCTTCTTGGAATAAGTCCACAACAGAACAAAAATTGCTTATTTGGAGCAGAAGCTGGCAGAGGAGTATGGCGGGAGGATGGGGGCTCAGTATAGCCAGAGGTGCTCTGCATCCCCATCTGTTCGCTTATGGTTGGAGATGATTGCTTTAGAGCAGAGACATGGAAACAAACCGTGGAGCCGCTCACCGTCTCTTCTGGTTGCTGTGCAGCAGGTTCTCTGTTGGAAGTCAGAGTCACATAAGCAGCTTTTCGCTTGCAGCGATGCTGCCCTGCAGTAACGCAGGAAGCGGATGAGAAAAGGGGGAGAATGAAGATGGAAAGAAAGACTTAAAAAGGTAGAGGATGGAAGACAAAGCGCAGTTGGTTTTGAAGGGATCTGCACTTCTAGGCTCAGCTTCAGGCAGATCCTCCACTGATCTGTTTCATCCATCTGTCTTTCTCCTGCTTGTTGCTCAGAGGCTGAACAGGACATGAAGAGGTTGGAAAAATCTGTCTCTCTTTCTTCTGAAACCTGTTCCTCCATCAGTTCACGTTTTGTCCCACAGGCTTCAGGTCACACCCATCTGCTTCCGTTGGGTTTCAGTTTGATGACCCATTCTCCTGCGGGGTTACAGTTGTACAGGTCCATTAGGTGTGTGTCCAAGTCCAGACAGTGCTCACCTGCAGAAACACACACATTTATTCACTTATTACAAAAAGGGTGTTTGCAGCTAATTTTATCATGATGTGAATTGACTATTTAATATTTATTTGCTTGGAAAATGAATTAATATAGTTAAATTTTTTTTTTAAAGTTTATTGTTAGCCCAGCAGATTAAAAAAGTCCAAAGCAACAGGAAAAAATGCCTGAAAATTTTTGTATTTTAGGTTTTAAATGATTGGAACAAAAAATGGTTTAAATCTTTATCATAATGCAGCAAACTGACTGAAAATGCTTCTACTTTAACGCTCGCTCTGTGCTCAGTGAGTGCACAGACATGTTGGTAATGAGCATTTATCTGCTCCGATAACTGCAGATGTGCAGCTCTCGTGACTCGGTCTACCAACATTTCACCTCACTCCTCTCATCGGCTCTGTGCACGTGTACACATCAACGCTCAGACCTGAGGAAAACTCACCGATATTCCCTCCCACTTCATAAAGAGCGCAGTCCGGATATGTGACCGAGCCGTTTCTGTTGACAGATGAGACCATGTGTTAGTTGAAATAAAAGTTTATATTCTTGTACAGGTGGCAGAAAAGACGTCAAAACGATTGACTGCTACATAATAAACTCATCAACACAAGATTGGATCAAATGTTTATATTTTAGAAAAATCCAAGCAGAAAGATTTCTTGTGTGCTCGACTTGTTTAATATGAAACTGAGGTTTTACCTTCGCATTTTTCCCTTTCCATTGGTGGGGCTGCGGAAGAACTGCCGTTGAAATTGTTCGAGCAGGTCGGAGGTTCGAGTGTTGATGCCGAGCTGAAACTCCATCGAGTTAACCAGATCTCCCACCTGGATCTTCACTGTGCGCCGCAGCTACAGAACACACACAAAGCTAGATGATATAGCATAACTGCTTGTTTAGATATATTTTTAAAGACTTACATTAGGCACGTTGTTGATGCCGACATTTATCATTTCTAATATTTTATTCTCATGTAAATTGTGTTTAAAAGGTTAAAACAGGGATTGTAGAAATGCTAAACCAGCTCACCTCTGATTTGTTTTTCTCAGGCTTTTCTCGGCTCTCCGGCTGGATTTTCTTCAGCAGATTTTTGAAGCGGCGATCGTAGAACTGGTAACGCCGATTGCTGTTCTCGTTCAGCCTGCGCACCTGACTTACAAGGAAATTAGGGATCTGAGGAGAGACAAAACAACATTTCTGATGAGCACAATTTCATGCCAGTAAACACGGAGAACAGTGCCAAAAATGTTATGACAACATGCTCTACGTTTCTCTGAAAATTTTAGCTGTATTAAAATCTAAATAAACTTGCGGCAAGATGATCTCCTTAAGCTTTCTTCATTGGTAACTGCTTTTATTTATTTTGTTTATGCAATATTTTTGGAAACAATGTTGCTTGATTGCTCTTAAAGAAAATCTGAGCCTGTAGAAAACCTTAGATACTAAATGATCACACTGTGTAGGCAGGGTAAAGGAGTGTCCTTACTGTCCAGAGTAGGTCCTGGTAACGAACGAGGAGCCTCATCACGTCAGCCGCCTTCTCCGCCTGTCCTTTCTCCACCCCGTCAGTCAGTCGGCTCGGGACGGCCTTATGAAGGAAAAGGTTTGGAGCCATGATGGTTGAAACGGCCCACAGGTTCATCCTGTTCCTTTTTTCCCTGGAAACCACCTTATTGAGGAACTCAAGCAGAGCCTGAAAGAAAAATACATGAAAATGCATAAAGCCACTGTAGATTTAACTTGTTTTGATGAGACATCTGGAGATTTGAGAGTGTCACAGCATCAGATTTTATAGAGTTCAGTTCTTCAACTGGACAGTGTCTTTGTAACCGTTACTGCAAGTGGAGCTGACTGCACACTCGTGTTGGGAAAATCAAGTCACGATCAATGCAACTGCTTATATAAGCAGAACACAGGTTAACATTCTCCCCCCCAAGAGGGACATATCTCTAATAAATTTAAGAGCTTCTAAAACCTGATGATGAACATCAAAGTGTGTGGCTTTTATGGCACAAAGTTCAAGTTTAGATCGTTCGTGAGTTATGAAAACATTTTGACATCTCATGTGTTGAATGATTCTAGCAGAACAAAAACATGATGCAGAAAGATTACTTTTATTTTAGTTGGGATCTGCATGTAATTTATAACTAAGACACTATTTGTGAAGTGGCCAAAGGAGTTTTGTTGTAATCACTCCAATAAATACAGTAGTCCCTCATTACTTCGCAATTTGTTTATCGCGGACTCACCCTATTGTGGTTTTTCAAAATAAGATTGGACATGACACACACTTGGCTGATTGATGGATGAGCCGCACGATCGGCATGACATTTTTTTATTTAAAAATCAATTATTTGAAATTATTTAGCACCTGCAGCTCCTTTTTGCAGTCCAGAGCTGCAGAATAAACTTCTTGCTGCAGCTGAACACTCTGTGCAGAGCTTAGTGGGCGTGGCCAAGAGCTCTTTCAGGTGGCTGAGCGCAGCAGAGGCAGGGAGAGGGAAATCATGACATTCTGTGCTCTTTGTGTTTAGAAACATTGTGTAGAATATTGCAAGAATGTGGGAAGGGTTTAAAACACCTTAATATATATAGCTATATAAACACTAAAATAAACTACTACTTACTACTTGTACTACTATTCCTACTTTGCGTATTTTGCACTTATTGCTGGGCTTCAAGGGACGGATCCCTGAGATAAACGAGAGACTACTGTAGTTCTTTACAATAAACTCACTAAGCTGTCAGTATGTGTTAAGAGAACCAGTTCATCAGTTTAAACATCCAGTATATATTTTTTATTTTATTGAAGTCTGCATAAAAATAAAAACTTAATTTATAGGCAATTTAACTCTGGAACAAAATACTACAATACAAGTGTTAGTGTTGCGTTACCTTCAGTGTACTCCTGTTGGGCTCAGGCAGCAGCAGGACCAGCAGGTTCAGCATGTGAAGTTTTTGTCTCAGCTCTGTGATGTCTGAAGAAGAAAACAAGCTAAGAAAGGCTGAACGTACATTTGTTCATTTCCTTGTTTGACTGAGAGTAATGGGATGTCTAATGATGGATGGTGTTGTGACCGGTGGCCATTAGGGTTGTTAGTTTATGTCTCTGTGGTCACGTGTCATTTATCACTGCACCCATCCTCCTCACAAACAACATATCAGCAAGTCATCAGTCATATATTAATTTCAACCTGTTCTTTTGTTAAAGTGACACCAGTGAAAAGCAGCCGATCGTCTCTGCTCCGTCACTGTGTGTTTGTGGCATCATCGTAAAGAGACTTCAATACTCATGGTTTAAACTCAGGATATCAGAGCAGTGGATTGTTGTGTAGATGAGTGGAAGAACAGCTGAACATACAGAATTATCAAAGTTTTTAAAAAGCTCAACAACGTCCAACATTCATCTTAATCCTATAATTTGTAAAATATATAAAAATAAAAAAAAACCTAGAGAAATTGCATTCCCTGTGAAAATGCAGTGTGAATGCTTATTTGCTGAAGAACTTGCTGAAAAACAGCTGAAATTAAAACATTATGAAATGTATCGGAAATGGAATAACGGGCCCAAATTAGCACAAGAAAGCAAAAAGAACACATATTTGCTGAAATAGGTTTAAATAAATCAGAAATTAGCAGAAAAATCAGGAAAGTAGCTAAATCAAAAGCTGAAATTAGCTGAATAAATTGCTGAAAAGTAGCTGAAAGGCAGAAAGAAGCTTAAACAACCAGAAAGAAGCGGAAAGAGCTAAAATGAGCTCAGAAAATGTGGAATTAGCTGAAAAAGCTAAAATTAGCATAAAAGCAGCTAAATGGTAGCTGAAATAGAAGACAAAGTTGAAACTAGCAGAAATAAGCTGAAAGGAGCATAACAAGCTGAAATTAGAGATAAATTACTAGTTATGTTGAAAGTAGCGAAAATTACCATGGAAAAACTTAAATTTATCTGAAAACAGTTGAAATGAGCAAAACAAGGTAGCTGAAAATGTAGAACAAGCTGAAATTAAGAGAAGAAAGCAGAAAAGAACATGTTTGTCCAATTATGCTGAAAGAAACGGAAATAAACACACAAAATGGAAATGATCTGAAAAAAAGCTGACAGAGGAAAAAAACAGCTGAATAGTAGCTAGAAAAGCAGAAAGAAGCTTAAATTACAAGGAGGAAGTGGAGAGAGCATATTTTTGCTGAACTGAGCTGAAAAAAGTTAAAATGAGTGCAAAAAATGTGGAATTAGCTGAAAAGGCTAAAATTAGGATAACAACAGAATAGTAGCTGAAATAGTAGCAAAAAAATGAAACTCGCAGAAATAAGATGAAAAGAGCACAACAAGCTGAAATTAGTAGAAAGAAGTTAGAAGAAGCACAGCTAAAACGGCTAATGTTGTACTTAGTAGGAATAAACAGCTGAAAGTAGCTGAAAAAGTTTAAATTTGCACAAGGAAGCTGAAAGAAACTGAAGCAGAACAAAATGTGAAAGGAGCAGTAAAATGTTGTAAACAGATCTAAAGATTTTGAAGAATGTATTTTCGTTTTGTCATTTTCCATGAGGAAAAAAAGTGACAGAAAAGGCTAAATGTTTCAAAACGCTAAAGTTGCACCAATACCAAAAGTCATAGCACCCTGCTCCTGAACATTTTGTTATAGGATTTGTTGAAATAGCACAGAAATTGTGGAACGAGTAAGATGCCGAAAAACGTACAGAAGAAAAATGGATCACAATAGTGTGAATGCTTCATAAACATCACACAATAATGTGGAAGATTTGCTGCATAGCATCCACCGACCTCTGACAGCGCTGAAAGTGTTGAGGTACTCAGTGGTGAGCAGAGGATCAGGCAAGTCTCGGATGAACTTCTTGAGGAGCGCAGCAGCATCATTTGGACTCACTTCATCCCAGTTGAAGCGTCCCGAGTAGAAGTTGGCCTCCAGGTTCTGCTGCAGCAGCTGCACACAGGAAAACAATGTGTTGAAGCAAGGTGCCAACATTTCTCTCTTAAATGACAATTATTGCACAACTGGTTGGAAAAATGACCCGGCTTAATCGCAGAGGAGACTGAGGAATCTTGGACGAATTGATCTGCCTTGATTTATCCAAACTTTTAACACTGGTCCTTTGGGAAAGCAATTTCTAACACTTTGGTACAGAAATGTTTACAGGTCAAATGAACTTTGTGACAACTTTAACAAGCATGCTCACGACAAAAGAACTGATCTCAAGTCCCAGAAAAATAAGTCAGAATGTAAACCAACAGGGCAAACTGGAATTCTAAGTTGAAGAAAATATTCTTCAGATGTAGTTGGTTAATTGATTATTACTTTCAAAATATTTCCTCTGAATTCTCAAAATAGCTTTCATTCATGACATTGAGCAGCTTTGTACATGTTAAAGATCCATCTTAGGACAGGAACGACAGTGTGATTTGGTGTTTCACCAATGCACTTTAGAACAGAAGAATAATTAAATAAATCAAACTAATTAATAAGCTGATCAAAAATGTCAATTGAAACTGGAAAATGAGCTGAAATACTGGATGACCATTGTTATCTCATCAGCCATGAGCTTAAGACGACACGAGCTCTTAGTTTTATGCCTTTTAGTGGCACCTGATGCCCTCTGGTGGTCACTTACATTTAACTGCTAATGAAAACAATCTGGCAGCAGCTGCTGAAAATGCCTCATTGATTTTAGTTCACTAGATCTTGTTATTTCAAATGTCACTTTTTATTAAAGTGACGCAGATCGACTTTTCCGTTTTTATGTTTGATCATTTTTGGTATTATAGTGTCAATTATGATCAATAATCTGAATTCCATGGTGGTTCCAGAACAAACGGAGCATATTTAAAGTGTTGGTTCGTGTCTTTTCAGGTCCTGTACCTTTATCCTGGACTGAGATCCAGGGACCCTCAGGATCCCCTCTGAATCGACTCCTTTCTTCTCGAGAAACGATAACAACTGCAGAGAGAAATGTTGAGTCAGATTTCTGTAGCTCTGAATCTTCTGCACACCTCTGCTGGTTGGACTCTGTAACTGCTGCTGCAAACAGGGTGTGGTCAAAGCCCTGCACCTGCTCACAGATTTTTAATGCTCTCTATTTGAAAGGTTGAAGCTGGCTGGAATGGATGGATGGATGAATCTATTAATGGCATCCTCATTACACAAACTATGACTGTCCTTGTTATGTCCAACCAAGACATGAATGCAACATGCTGCGCAAAACTCAAAAAACACAACATCTTACCGTTTCTTACAACAGACTGGAAAACTGAAGCGATTTGTAAATAATTGTGTTTCATGTGATTTATTACGTCTGTGGGTTGTAAAAAGTCAAGAGGTTGTCAGATACTCACCGCCTGCAGGAAAAGAGGCACCGTCACGCTTGGCTTCACTTTCTGATCATTCTCCAGCAGCATGGCCAGCGGTACCCCGAAAAGTGTGCTCTCTAAAAAAAGTAAAATAAACTATTGATCATGTGTCTCATGTGAACATTTGTTCAAAACATCATCATGGATACCCTGTCATTAAAACAAAACATGGGTCTGAAGGCTATTCAACTAAATTGCTTGGGGGGGGGGGGGGGGGGGGGGGTGAGGCGAGAAAAAAAAAAAGAGCAGACAGGTTT